AGGTTATCCAGATGGAGTTTTGTAACTTCTTTCTTTCTTTTCTGTTTTGTCCTTCCTGAAAGTTTATTTGGCTTGCAGACATGTCTGAGGGCTTGGCTGAGCTGCCAATGTTACGGATCCTGTTTCTCAAAAAGATTTCAGAAACACTAAATTTGTAAAATCTCTGGTTTTAGACCAGCATCCATTCTCTTGTGCTGCATGGCCTGATTACTTTGGGGAAGAATTTATAAAGTTACAGCTTTAACCGTATTGGATATGACTTGCATTTGCAACTATTAGAATGTAAATATATATGTGAACAACTTGTTTATTAGCTCTTTGTCCTTCAATGGGGGTGGTGTAATAGCAGCATTGGCTGCTGTTAGCTTTGTTCCAACAAAGTAACATTTTTGTGGTTCCTAATCAAAAAAACCTCATTCTCTCCAAACTAGAGATGGAACTGAATGATCCTAGGACAAAGGCATGGATCCAAATGGGATTTTTCCTTTTCAGTATGGGCTCAAGCTATGATTAATCACCTTTTTTCAGTGGAATATACTTGCTTCTGTAAGTGAGCTTTTTCACCTCTCAGAGGGAACTGAAAAAGCAGGGTATTTTATTATGCTTTGGATCACTGATGAGGAAAGGCTCATTTGTACAATTCACTGAGCAAGTCTTTTGGTCTATTTCTTCCTACAGACAAATTATATGGTTATATGTAAGTTACAACACAAAGTATTCAGATGTTACATAAAATCAATACAGTGCTTTCTGAAAAGAAGCATATATTTTAATGCCTTTATTATTTCTCTTGTGACCAAAAAGGGGAAAAGATCCATGTGCTGCAAAATAGACAGAACCCATTCAAGGGTTGTTACTTGTTGTTATGTTGCTTTTACTGCTGGGAAAATAGTAGCAATTTTTAAAAATCATTTCTGCATGATCTCCTTTTGTGTGAGCTGATAAGAAAATATGTTCTTTCTGCACATGTAACACATAAGGAGTGTTTACTGCCCATATGGTCTCTTTAGGACTCTGACATTAGAATTTCTGTGGTAGCAAGTTGCAAAGCAAAAAAGCAATTATCAGAGTGCATAAAACTGACGTTTACATCCTGTCTGTGTATAAAATGAGCATAAGAAGGACATGAAAAGCATTTAGCCGTGTGCCACCTATATGGGAATCCTGTACATTATGTGCTAGGGTTGAGATCTGCTGATTTACTTCATCTGCAGGGCTGCCCAGTGTTTTGTACAAACATCTGCTGTGACACATGACACAGAGCCCAGAAATGTGCACCAGAGGGTGTTGCCGAAGGTGCTTCATCACAACAGGATTAAAGGATGTGAAAGACTCGCGTGGCTCCATTAGCAGGAGAAATTAGGTCTTTGATGCTGCAGTGGTACGTTTCATTCCACATCTGAGTCATCCCAGCATGTCAAGACGCAGCAGGATTTCCGCTTATAGAATCCTCTGACAGTATTCCTGATATAGCACATGATACTGCCTGCACCAGGTTGGCTTCTGGGGTCTCTTGCATTAAACACTTCCTTAATATCAAAATGTGTTGGTAGGCGTATCGCAGCCAGTGTGACTTCAGCTCCTGTGCAGCGTGCACTTGTGTTTGCTGGCAAATCACCTTAAATGGAAGATGCCCATTTGGTTTTGACTGTGCTATAAAACTATTCTTTCATCTTTCCAAAGACTTCAGATTTTTTTTTTCAACTGAAAATACTAAAAGCTGTGTGAATGAGCAGTCGGATCCAGGCCATCAGATCGTTTCCACACTGCCCGGTGTGGGTTCTGTTCTATTCAGGCATTACCTTGCTCGCATTGTGGGTTTGTGTGTACATGCTGTGTACAAGCACAACACATTTTCCTTTGTTTCATTCTCTTAATAATAATCTGTCCTCAGTATGTCCACTAGTAAGGAAGATAAAACACTAAGAAGACAAATGAGGAGCGAAAGGGTTTCACGAACAGATGTGTGTTTAGAAAGCAAAGCTTAGTTGCCTTTACAAAGAGCTATATCCCTGTATTTAATTCCTGACCGTTATGTTTTTAGGGATGGTGTTCACAGCTTGGGTATGAGCATTTAATTTGGCAATTAAAGCTCAGAGCAATAAATTCTTTTTGAGGATGGAGTTCCAGACACTGGGTCTAATATCAGTCATTTGATCAAATGCAATTTGTTTACATTTTTAACCAATGTTCCCACATTTCCTCTGTCCCATGAACACTTACAAATTTTAACATATGCAGAAACAGTGAAAAAATCGGGATGTTGTATATTCAAGGAGCTCAGTTTGAGGGACATAAGACAGTCCCTATGAGCTTCAGGGTATCTACAGCTATTAGTTGCTTTGATGGTTGCTAAGGATTTCAGGTTTCATACCCCAAAGTTATCAACATTTTTAAAATATAGAACTTTTATGGACTTCATTTGGAATAGGAGCAATCCAATATCTTAACAAAAACCCAAACAAACAAACAAACCAAACCAAAACCAAAACCAAAAAGGAAAAAGAAAACAAACAAAAACACATCTTTCCAATAGATGATATACAGCGCAAAATATTCAGTTGATTGATTCAGGTCACTAGGCTCAAAGACTCGTGTTCAAATTATCCAAATTAAAAACGAGTCATTTTAATATGAAGCCTCCTGAGTGTCAAATTCCCAAACTACCATGAGATCTTGGTGAATACTGCTTAAATCATACTTCACCCCCATTCTGCAATTGCTCCACAGATGAATGTTATTGCCCTCGAGTAGGAACAGGGGCAACTTCAAACTTAGCACATCAGGTCAAAGGCAACAGTTCCCTGCCAGCATTTAGTCTCCAGAGATACGTCTCCAGAGAATTCATAAAAAAATAACAAAATGGTGATTAAAAATATCAATAAACTAAACCTTGAAAGATTGCTACAGGGTGGGTAAACATTGACTGTCCTCATTTTATGAATGGGAGAATCCAGGCAGAAAGATAGTGTCTTGGGAATAGTACATTAAGGATCTAGGCAGAGCTGGGAAGAAAAGACAGAGCTGTGTTCTCTACCCACCACACCACAGACCCCTCAAATGCAGCCCATGAGCTCCTACCTGTGTCCTGGGAAGCCTCGAAACTCAGCTCACAACAAGTTGTAAAACAAGCCATCTTTGACATAACAATCTCGTTACTGAGGCCAAGGCAGCCTTGGTTTCTGCTTCCACAGTGCCTTGCCCATGAACTGCTATGCAGCCCCCAGCCTGAGGGGTAACCAAAAAATTGCTGTGCCTGAAAAAGCAAAACTCTGGCAGCTCTGGCATATAGCAAATGTACAGAGAGGGTAAAATACCCAAAGGTATTTTACACTGTTTTGCAGTGATGAGCAGATAGTTCCTGTTGTACAGCTCACTGCTAAATATGCACAGCATTTAATTTTCCTTTCATTTCTGAAATGTTTCATGGATGCCAAACTAATCAAGAACTTCAATAGCAAATCAAGAGGCTATAAGTTAAATCTCATTATCCAGAATATGTTTGGTTACTGCAATCCATTCTTTATATATTAAGCATTGTTGCAATGTTAATTAAGAGTATTTAAAAATAATTATAAACACTGAAACAACAGGCAGTGTTAACCAGAGGAATAAAAGATTAGCTGGGATGAAGAAGGAGATGCAATTACATCAGGGTTTTTTTATGCAATATTGGGGTTGCATAACTGCATATTCATTTTTTGCGTGGCACGCAAACTTTTTGGGGGCAGCAGCTTGATCATGTGCTTTCCAATGCACTTACTGAGCTCATCCATGAAAAAGTGGGTTTGAATGACCAAAAATAAAAGGGCAGAGAATTCTCAAGTGAGATCTTCAGGTATTCTGGTTGCCTGCACATTTGCAGAATTTTTAGTGACCTTAGCATCAGTTACATAAGCATAAGGAGAGAAAATAAACTCCTATTAAATGCTGTAACACATATGGTCTCCTGACAGGATGTTCCAAGCCAGGCAGTGATTTTATAGTCCATATGCACTGTACAGTAGTTCTTTGCTTTCAAAGCAGGAGTCAAAAATAGCATATCAGAATGAACTCCATTCTTTGTCTTTGAGGGGCAGTCTGTGTGTTAATGTTACTACTACACCGTGGCTAGCTGTCTTTAACAGAAAATAAAGTGCCAACTACATGGGACTTGATCTTACTAGCTGATAACATGATATGGCTATATGATGTGCAAAAATCCACCACTGCGAGTAAATGTCTTCCCAGGGTGTGCCATGAGGCACTTTAGGGTAAGGAAAGTGTAATCAGCAAGTTTTTGTGTGGTTTTTTTTTTGTTGTTGTTGTTGTTGTTCGTTTGTTTGGTTTGGTTTGTTTTTTTGTTGTTTTGTTTTGTTTTGTTTCGTCAAAGAGTTCCTGGACAGCGTGGAGGAAGAACTATTCTGAATGGGGGAGTATCTTCATAGAGCAGAGTATGTCACCTGGGCTGTCTAGGGCCACACGGTGTAAAGACTCCACCAGCGAGTCTCATCCCAGGACAAGACTGCCAAAGGACACAGAAGCACTAGTTGTATTGAAGCTAAAATTTGTTATTAAATACGGCCATCAGCCGTATAAACTCCGAGTGCTATATTCTGTAGTGTTTTGGTCATACAAAAGCCTCGGCGACAGAACAGAGCCCCGCAGCCAACAGTTGAGGAGTCAGCCTAAGCAATTTGTTCCCAGTACGATCTACTCCGGTGTCGTATGCTCCGCTCTGGTGCTCTGTGACACGCCGTGCTGACTTGTCCAGCCAAGTACCTGCCCGGCTGCGCTCTGGGCGGAACCAAACCAAAATCGCCCGTCCAAAGCCATCACCAAAATCGTGTCCCGTGCGGTGAGCGGCGCCGCGACCCCGGGACCGCCCGTCCCGGCGCTGACAGCCCTCGGGGCGGCCGCTCTGCGCGCCCCTTCTGCCGCGGGCGGAGCGGGGCCGGCCGAGCCTGCGGGCGGGCGGGCAGCGCCCACCTCTGTGCCCGGCTGTGCCGGGGGGCAGCGCCATGCGGGGCCCGCGGGGGACTGCGGGGCGCGGCGGGGCTCGGGCGGCCCTGGCAGTGCTGCTGGCGGCCGCCCTCGCCCCGCGCCCGGCGCGGCCGCACCCGCAGTGCCTGGACTTCAAGCCGCCGTTCCGGCCGCCCCAGGGCCTCGCCTTCTGCCGCCGCTACGCCGACTTCGGCTGCTGCGACCCGCGCCGCGACCGCGCCCTGCTCCAGCGCTTCTACCGCCTCAGCGCCCGCCTCGACGGGCACAGCTACGCCGCCTGCGCCGGGCACCTGCAGGACCTGCTCTGCCAGGTGAGACCCACTGCAGGGCCGGCTCTGCCGGAGCTCCTGCTGCATAGCGGGGCTCCCGCCGCACAGCGGCTACAGCCGCGCTGAAGGCTCCAGCCACACAGGGAAGGGTCTTCCAATGCGCAGGGGACATCACCAGCCGCGCAGGGGTATTCCACCCCTGCACAGAGCTCTGGCATCCGCATGGATGCTTCTGCTCTGTCGCGGGGCTTTGACCCAGGTGTGTATGTATGCACTTGTGCAGGGCTGCATCAAGCCCAGGTATGGATGCTTTGGCCCAGACATGGGTGCCTTGAACCCAGCAGAATACACTGGCCCAGGCACAGAGTCTTTGGACAATCCAAGGGAGTGTGAGCCTTGGTATTAGTTCCCAAACCTGGACAGGAGTACAGGGACCACCCCACAGGTGCATCAGCCATGGTGTTGGTGTCTGGGTCAAGGCATGGGTGCATTGGCCACATGTGGGTGCATCAGGGATAGTGCAACAGCCTAGGCATGTGCTCCCATGCACTGGCAGGAGCACCTGTCCATCATCAGGTGTATGTATGTTCTTTTGTTCTTTGGTACGTGTCTGAAACAGGAACAGGAATGTTGCTCTGCTTTAATTTATGAGCATCAGAGATCAGAGATGGGTATGTGGACAGTTACAAGTAGACCTGGTGAAGACACCAGGGGGGAACCTGCCTGCACAAATCATGCTCCTTGTTATGCCCAATTAATGGGGTCAGGTGGGTTTCTTTGCTTTGGGTTACAGCATCCTGAGATGCTTTTAGCATGTGCCAGGTGCTAATAGTCCTGATGATGGGTACAGATGAGGATGTGGCCTAGAAACCTCTGTGATGGCCATACTGCATAAGGGAGAAGTTCTGTGGCCAGATATGATAACAAGAGGATCACAGTCTGCACAGAGCACAGCGTCTGACCCTATCATCAGTGGTGCCCTCACATGTATGAAAATGCCCCTGAGACAGAACAGTGGCAGCTCTGTGCTGTGCAAGTGTAAATCTTAAATTAATTCAGACAGTGGAGTCTCATCTGCTCTGCTCAGATGGGATCAAAGTGGCTTCTCGTAAATCCTGCTCTCAGCATTTTGCAGGGTACCTCTTGTGCTCCTGAAAGCATGAAGACAGCCCTTTTCCACATCAGCTTCTAGAAACCTGACTTCTATTTCATCTCACATTGTACTAGAAGCAAAACAACTTCGAATATATTCCTGAAACAAGCGGTGTCCAAAAATCATTTGCAGGTAGGATACCAGTTAGCAGTGCCTGCTAAGCACTCCTACCTCTGGAAGGGATAACTGAATCTCCTGTGTTCATCAGAAAGGCAACTGAAAATTTGTTCAGAAACAGAGATATTTCAATATGGGAAAAATGATTCAGAGAAATGTTCTGATGAGCTCAGTGCATCACCAGCCCAGATGTGGCTACAAAACATGACCACACTGGCTGCACAAGCATGAAATGGAAGTTCAGACATTGCAAATAATCTAGAACATTATGCTTCCATTCATTAATTGTATATACAATTTATATCCTAGACCTGAATTAATAAGCGGGTTTCTGTGACTTATTCAGCACTTTTCTGCTCACAGTTCATAATTTGTCTCAAATGTGATCAAATTATTTTGACAAGTGTCTCAGCTTACACTTGTGGTGAGGATTCCTACCTTCTCTTAAATTCGTAGAATTATCAAACAGTTTGAGTTAGAAGGTATCTAGTCCAAGCCCCCTGCAATGAGCAGGGACAGCTTCAACTATATCAGGTTGCTCAGAACCCCATCCAACTTGTCCTTGAATGTTTCCACGTGTGGGGCACCTATCACGTCTCTTGGCAACCACCTCCAGTGTTTCACTGCCCTCATTATAAGCGGCTTCTTTCTTATATCTAATCTATATCAACTCCTTCAGTTTGCCTTGTCGTCTCACTAAACACCCTTGTAAAAAGTCCTTCCCCAGCTTTCTTGTAGCCTCTTTAGATACTGGAAGGTGCTATGGGGTTACCCTGGAGCCTTCTCTTCTCCACCATACTGCAGAAGAGCAGATGCCTCATTCTGCTTCTCTAGGAATATCTTGCTTAAAGTCTTGAGTTTTCAGATGGAAGAGGACAAGGAAGGTTGGGGATAAGGTGAAAGCTAAATGCTTTTCTGAGGAGTCTTGTTGCTTCCTCCAGGCTGACAGCAACAGTAAACAAGCCATTGTTTGATGTGGGTGTTCCTTCAGATTCAGACAGTTATAATTCCTCAGATAAGTAGCTACCACCGAATTCCTGGAACAGACAGGATGGATTTGGCTAGCTTGTCTTGATGTGACTTGTTTTGTTTTCTGATGAGTCATTTTCATAGTGCAAACCCGTTTCAGCACTACTGAAGTTACTGATCGTCTGTCTATTAGTTTCCTTGGTCTTTGGACCACATCATAGTTTAAAATGAATGAACAGACCATGTCATTTGGAAATGAGAATTTAGAACTATAAGTGATGCTGATCTGTGACTAAGGGTAGAGTTTCTTGGTATTTTGAGCTAAGTGAACATGACAGGATAATGTGAAGGGTGAAGGACCACAACATTTGCTTCAGAAGCAGAGAAATTCAGGATCAGGCACGAGGCTCCATCTCTCATGGAATAAAAGCTGGAAAATATTTCACATGTGTCTGGAAAATACCCTAGGCACATGCTCGGGTACTGTCTGGCTAGTGATAGATCTCTGAATGTCACTGTCAGTGTAATGCTGCTGTAATTAGCCATATGCCACCAGGAATATTGTAAGGATGGAAGAAGTTGCCCACAATTGCTGTTCAAACACACCTGAGGCTGGTGTGAACAGCCTGCAAGGCAAAGGGACAGGGAAGCCATACTTCTGGACTATTTTTAATTCTGAATCTGAAGCCAGGACATTGCTTTATAATGCATAAGATCACTGCTTGCTGTGAAAGAGGCATTCAGAGAACTGAAGTACACTGGGGTACTCAAGGGAGGGGCCTCCTTTCTCTGAATGAGAAACCTTCATAGGCAACAACATATTGAGTCCTCACACAGCCCTCCCATCAAATTCTCTTTCTGTCTCATTTCAACTTGCTTTCTAAGGCCAAATTTTCAGTCATTACCACTGAATCGACTAATGGTCCCTCTCTTTCTGTCCTTCTCCCTGGCACACCTCGTGTAACTGAGCCGAGTGCATTACCCAGTCTGCCTGTGTAATTTCAGTGATTTGTGTCACACGCATTCTTCTTTTTACCACATTAATTGCTGCTCATTTGAAGGCATAATAACCTTCATTTTGCAATGAATGGCTTGACATTCCAGGAGGAAAGCTTATTGTGCACTAATGATCTGTTATATGGCCCCTCAGTTTATTATGGTATGTAATGGAAAATAAAATAAAAATTAAATATTGTGTGTGCTTATCAGCTAATTTAAACAGTTCAGTATCTCAAATGCTGTATCTTTTCAGTTATTGAGTAGTGCTGTAATCTGCATTAAGAGATAGCTCCCTATAGATTTAGAAACAGGTCCCTATATTTTTTTTTTACTAAGCTGGTTTTGCTTACTCAAAAAAGAAGAAATGCAAGCTAGGAATAAAAAATACAGAATTTATTCAAGTAGTATAGTTTTTCTTCTGACCTTTCTTGCCTCAGTTGTTTATCTACCCTGTGAAAATAACTGAGCCTCCACAGAGTCATGTTGCATTATTTGAAGAGCACTTTTGAGGTGCTTGTTGGGAAGATGCATTACAACTGGAAAATACTGTGTGTTTGTTCCAAGGAAAAGCCCTTCCAAAGCAGAACTGAGTCACTTTGGTCAGTTTGTAATTTACAGATTTACTGGATTGCAGTTTTTCATAAGGAGAACGCGCCTGTAGGAGTTCTCATTTGGAGAATGCAATGAACTGTGTGAACTTGATTCAGACCTCAGGTAGATTTCCAAGGCTTCACCTTCCATAAGCAAAGGCTGAGCTGCCAGTGCCGCCAGTAGACATTGCCTGGATTGTGGCCTTTGGTGCTCACTGAAATCCCTCGCAGAACTTGGTGACTCGTGTCATGATTACGAGAAATCATGAGATTTCACCACTCCTGGTTGGGGATATAAACTGTCTATAGGCAAAGATCCACCAGCAAAGGCAGCTGGACCCGAGCAAGGATGGTGTATGTAGGGAGAGCATCCTTCTGCCCTCTTCTTCTTCTTTCTCATTCCACTCCTTCCAAGCTGTAAATCACATCTATGTCTGAGGTGCATGTCTGGATTATCAGATGAAAATGTATGAATCTCTCAGGCTTTGGCCTCGATGGCCTTTCCCATTCCCTCATCAGTCTGGAGATGCAGGACCTGAATCTTCTCAACTAACTCTTTTGTTTCACTTCTATGCTGTGATGAATCTTGTTATTTCACAGATAAAGTCAGAGCATCCAAGAAAGAAAAGTCTCTTTTTCCCTGTACATCCCTAGGGTGATGTAGCAACATGGGCACCATTGCTGTGATTGGAATAGAGGAGTAACAACATGAGGAAGTCAGCTTTCACCAGGAATATTGAAGATCATTTCTACAAATGCTGAGATAAACCCTCTTTCTAAGATCTTTTCCTCTGTTAACATATCTTCAGAATAAACCACAACGTATATTGTAATTAAGATGAAATATCTCCAATTAGTATCACCGCTCAGCTGTTTAAAATCTGTTCCAAGACATGACTTGAGGTTTTTTCTCTCTCCTTCTAGGAATGCTCTCCATATGCAGCTCACTTATATGATGCTGAAGATCCCTCCACCCCCGTGCGGACGATACCAGGACTTTGCCAGGACTATTGCACGCAAGTGTGGCAGAACTGCCGCTCCATCTTTCGCCTCCTCTCTGCAGACCGAGAGTTAATTGCACTGGAAAACAACATGGCAAAACTCTGCCGCTACCTGACCTTGGAGGACACCGACTACTGCTTCCCACACCTGCTGGCTAACCAGAACCTTAACCAGAACCTGGGGTTAGTCACGGCCGATGCGGAGGGCTGTCTCCAGCTCTGCCTCGTGGAGGTCGCCAACGGGCTGCGCAATCCCGTCGCAATGGTGCACGCCAACGACGGCACCCACAGGTTCTTCATCGCAGAGCAGGTTGGCCTGGTGTGGACCTACCTCCCTGATGGATCCAGGCTTGAAAAGCCATTTCTGAACATCAGCGAAGCCGTACTTACCTCCCCGTGGGAAGGAGATGAGAGAGGGTTTCTAGGTATTGTCTTCCACCCTAAATTCAAATTTAGTGGTAAAGTTTATGTCTACTATTCAGTTGAAGTTGGTTATGAAGAGAGGATCCGGATCAGTGAGTTCAGAATTTCTCCTACTGACATGAATGCCTTGGACCATCGTTCTGAAAGGTATTGTACACACCTTTCTCTGGCAAATGTGTTTAAGATTTCAGAGGGCAGCTTGAGATTTTTAAAGGCTATTAGTGAATGAGATGTATTTAGCTTAATATTGTTCTTGCATTCCAGTGTCTTAGCAGTCCAAGTCCATGTCTAGCATAGTGAAGTACAGAATGTGTGTGTCCTGCATGAATGAACTGCAAGTGTTCAGGGATAAAACATTTACAAGTCACAGTTCTAGTATGTCGGAGGAGTTAACTGAACATGGATTAAAAATTATTTACAGTTAGTATTTTGGTTTTTTCGGGGTTTTTTTTGGTTTGGTTTTTGTTGGTTGGTTGGTTTTTTTATTGTTATGACTACACTTAAAATAGACATCTGCAAATTCATTCTGAAGCCAAAGGTTTCCTAAATCAGTACAAACAGAGTGATACCAGACCAAAGATGGATTTGATCCCACATTTCTTTACCTGAACAACACCTCAACCCTGTGATATTAGAAATTTAATATCAAATTAAATTAAAATGCAAGCCACTATGTTATTACCAAGTGCATTTTGATTGGCAATGTCATTTGTTTGAGTCTGGTCCTGCAGTTGATCCACATTAATATGCACAGATAATGAGAGGCTTGTTTGTGGAGTCAGTCTATAGACTTATAATCATGTCATAGATGCACTGTTTTAAGAGATCCTTGAATGTTACGAATGCTAAGATACTTGCTTTGTTATGTGATTTGAATTAGGGGCTTTCCAAATACTCAGCTGTGGATGATTCTAGCTCAAAAATGCATGTAGCCTAATGGTAGAAAGGGGATACTGGTTTATAAAGCAATTAGAGAAATTCAGTGTAAGCCCCACGGTAGATGACAGGTAAGGGGAATTAAATGTGGTCCTCAAGAAAGCAAGTCAGGACCTTAAATCTGCAGTTGTCAGGGCCCACGAGCTGTATTGTTTAAAAATCCTCAGGGTCTATATTTGTAACATTTTCTTTGCTTATTTAGCTTATGGTTAGTACAGCAAAAGCTTAAGGAAACAGAACTGTGGTCCGGTTGTGCTTGTATAGGCACAGGTCCCACTGACTTCATCCTGTGATGCTGCCCAAGAGGGAGCTCAGGCTGACATGTGGTGTGCATTGTCTCGGCACACAGGCGTGTGTCTGTTTATCCTCAGATACTTGCTCAATGTATTTTGGGTTTTTTCCATCTTCTTTGGGAGGCTGAGGAAGATTTACCTCTGTGTCTGTACAGGATCCTCCTTTGCTCCTTCTGCAAATTGGAGTCTGTGCACTCTTGCACAATTACCTTATCACAGAGGTGGTGACATTTAACAGGAGGTGACAATAACTCCATAGTTGGGTTCCTTCCCACGATTTACAATAACTATCAGTATTTCAGATGGGAAAAAAATGAGCTAAAAATGAAGCAATATAAGTGAATATTATAATTTGCTTTTGTAGGTATTAAGATGCACTGTCAGCATGAAATCTGGACTTTTTTTTCAAAGCTGGAGTGAAATAAACTTCAGTTGTTACACCTGGGAACCTCCACTGCATGGATTTGTGGCTTTACCATTCTATAAAATTATACTTTAGATGTTTTACCTTTTCCTTACTATGAAAGGTGCATAAAATAAACAAATAAAAGAGAAAGTTTGCGTTTAAAATTAAGGTAAAGTTTGTTAGTACTCCTTTGAATAAACTTTTATCAAAATGTCATTTTGATGGTGTGGCTCCTTTTAACTGTTCTTTAAACTCATAAGTTCCTGAGTGTGTAATTATCATTCAAGGATTCTTCTCTCTGTAAGAATTTAACTATTCCTTAATGTTTGAAAAGTTTTATGTTTGTCTTGAAAGAGCCTGTCAGGATTGTGCCAAATGTTGTACAGATGGACTGGAGTCCTTTCTCTTGCAGTTTACAATTGGATATAAGCTCAGATGCCTTTTCTTTAAAAAATATAAAGAAAAATAAAAAAGAACGAACAAGGAAGAAGAAAGAATCAGAGGAAAAGTATAAGTATTTAAAAATATATCTTGTTGTGCGATTTCCCAGATTTTCCATATTACACAATTTGGCGTTTCTGTAATCTGGAAACTATGCTGGAACTATTTAAGGTTAGAAAATCAGTTATGGCCAAGCAAAATTCAGTAATGTGAATATGGAGGAATTTGTATCAAAACCGATCTGTAACGTTGTCATCTGTCAAGGGCAACATTGGCATGACATTGCTCTGCCCTTTGCTTAGGTAATTGCAGTAGGTAATTGCCTTCTCCCTGTATTCACTTAGGATAATCCTGGAAATAGAAGAACCTGCTTCCAACCATAACGGAGGAGAGCTGCTCTTTGGAGATGATGAATATCTCTATATATTTACTGGAGACGGAGGCATGGCTGGGGATCCTTTTGGGACCTTTGGAAATGCCCAGAACAAGTAAGTGTGGATCCATTCTTGTTGCAGCTCCAGGCTACCAGCATGTGTCTGCAGAGCAGTGGGGCGTGGGAAGTCAATGCCAGCCACCTGAAGGCTGTTTGGAGGCAAATAAAGTTATCTTGAAACAGTTGTTTTTTCAGAGATATTCGGAGACTTGTTTTTCCAAAACAGAAAGAGTGAAACCTTAGACCTTCCAAACCCCCCATCTCTGATGTTTAAGCAAGGTCGAGTTTTCTTTCTTTATCTTTTCCTGCTTTTCTTTTCTTCTCCCAATACAGATCAGCCCTGCTGGGCAAAGTGCTGCGGATCGATGTGAATAACAATGACCGTGGGCCCCTGTACCGGATCCCTCCTGACAACCCTTTTGTCAATGATCCTACGGCTCGCCCTGAAGTCTATGCCTACGGAGTGAGGAATATGTGGCGCTGCTCTTTTGATCGGGGTGACCCTCACACCAAGGAGGGGAAAGGGCGGCTCTTCTGCGGAGACGTGGGACAGAATAAATATGAAGAAATTGACATCGTCGAGAAAGGGAAAAATTATGGCTGGAGAGCGAGGGAAGGGTTCAGCTGTTACGACAAAAAGCTTTGTGCCAACTCTTCGATGGGTAAATACATGTGCTTTCTAAACTACCTGTATCTCCCACTGCACAGTTTTCTGCACCATCATTTTGAATTCCTGCCCTCAGAGCCTGGCTGCTTGGCGGTAAACACCTCTTTAAGATGTAAATCTATACTGTCTCAGTCTAGAAGGGAATTGACTTAGACATAAATATTGAAAGTCCAAATGTTATTGTTTTTGAATTAGGAGGAAAGTGAAACAGGCTAGCTGTTGTTTTTCTAGGTGATCTGTGATGTTAGTCAAACTCCTTGGTAATTCTATGATGGGGGACAATTTCATCTTTGCCACATGAAATAAGCTTTCATGCAAGAGCAAGAAAAATTTGGAGCAATTGTACTTTTCTCCATAACTCACAAGTAGTCTCTTTATTTAAAAAAAAAAAAAAAAAGAGAAAAAACATATTATGTAATCAACCTATATGCACACTGACTGCTTTGCAGGTAACTCAGTGTATGGTGTATCTTTGTTTCTTTTAGCTATGCCAAAAAGGAAAAGCTTATTTTATTTTCATTTTTTTAAACTGTTCAAAACTGGATTCAGGGTATTTGCTGGCTGGCTAAATTCCAGTGCACATGTGAAGTCGGAGTGTATTGTGTTGCAAGGTCTGATGTGGACCACATATTGTGCTGGAGCCTCTCCCCAGAGATCCAGGGGGGCAGTGGGCTGGAACTGATTTGCATTAGCTGAGATTTTAATTTTTTTTCTCTTCTGTGTGCTATATGCTATGTGCTGTTCTTTAACTTTCCTCCTTTTATTAACTTAGCTATAATTATGGTGGTGGTGATGAAGTTTTTTTTTATAAAAATTTTGAGAGCAGGGAGCATTTTTCACACTTCCTTTCTAAAACAGTTGCCAGAGAGCTCGTTTAGTGCTCTCCTGTGTGACAGTATCACATGAGTGATCGTGGCAGGCACTGTACTGAGATCTCCAGGGATTCAGAACAATTTTTGATGCCTTTAGAGACCCTTTTGTTAGAACAGTGAAATGTCACAGCCCTTTTAGAATGATAGGTACAGCTGAAGTGTAGAAAACACCTGCTTTAGATGAAATGCCTCTGGTGCAAGTTCCTCGCTGGCAGAGCTGCTGGGTTTGCTCCTTGAGGCATTTGCTACACGGTCAGGGAGAAAGGCTGTGGGGACAGGAAGGAGTGGGTACCACGAGGTACCTGTGACCCAGGAATTTTCAGAAGAATGGGAAGAAGGCACCTAATTGAGACCCTCAAAATCAGGACATCTCCCTCTGTTTTATGTCTGTCTTGTGTTTTAACTTATATTTTAAATGAATATGCCAGTACTACATCATGCCTCTGCCATACCATAAATATTTGATGGCCCTTTCAAGTTAGCTCCCCCATCTCAGAGGAAGAGAAGCTATTTGTGCTGACATCTGACATATCTTTTCATCAGTGCCTGCAGTCTGGAGTTACCCATCTCTTTTTTTCCTTTCACCACCTAAAAAAAGCTGCATTGAGCAAACACCTCCTGCATGGGTGCGGTGACTCCAAGAGTAACCTGTGAATTCTTAGCTAAACCAGCCAGGCTCTGTAGAAATGGGCCAGAAGTGGCACTAACACAGATGGGTTGTAGTGGGAGAAGGACTCAGGAGAGCAGTGAGGTCTCGGTGAGTCTTGGTGATGGCAAGGCCTATCAAATATGATTCCAAAAAGGTGAAAATCAAACTAAATGCAACTCCATCATCACTTCATTTGAATTGAAGGTGCTCCAGTGAACCTGACTGTACTTCATTAGTCTCAGAACAGTCTAGATAAACAGCCATGCTGCAGCACATGTCAAACAAGTCACAGATCTTTTCTGCCCTACAGATGATGTGCTCCCAATTTACGCATATCCACACAAAATGGGGAAATCTGTTACGGGAGGCTATGTCTATCGGGGCTGCGAGTCTCCAAACCTGAATGGCCTGTACATATTTGGGGATTTTATGAGTGGGTAAGTAAACTAAGTTGTACCCCCAGCCAAAGTCCCCCCCCAAATCTGATGGTTTTTAAACCCTGCCCTCTTGTTTTTTCATGGGTTTGTGTTGCCATTGAAAGACAAGGGGTTGCATGCAGGGTGTATAATAAATTTGGGTTAATATTAGCAGTTCTTCATTTTTCAGAGAAGCTGCAGTTCCTATTGCAGCTCGTGGGGGTAGGAAGCATTAAACATCCTTCCAGGTGTCCATGTTAATGTTCATAAATCACCTTGGTTGGGTTTTGAAAGCGTTCTTTTGCCTTGCAGACGCCTGATGTCTTTGAAGGAGAATCGTGCCACTGGAGAGTGGCAGTACAGTGAAATCTGCATGGGGACAGGACAAACGTGCATGTTCCCTGGGCTTATCAATAACTATTACCAATACATCATCTCTTTTGCTGAAGATGAAGCAGGTAATCTTTTAACTTTTTGTCACACTGGATGGCATGTTTGTGGTTTCTCTTCAGACTAAAACACCAGGGAAAGGATCAGAGAGGGCTCCTGGGAGCAGCAAGTGGTGGGGAGGCAGAACATGAGTCTGTCAGTCTTTAAAATGGGCAGGTGAGATTCCCAGCATCTCCCAAACACCAAACCAAAGTTACAATGCTAATTTTTGAGATCTGTGTGCCGTACAGTGCCTGCAGAGGGAATTGGAGACTCACTTCCCTTGGGACTGATTCTGGGTGTTCTGGACTGTGCTGCTACCTGCGCACTTACCCTCTGGAGAACAGGGAACAGCAGAGGGCAAGTAGAATAAAACACAGCTTAGAAAAGAAGCCTCATTCTTCACAGTGCCATGCCGTGGGGAATGGAGGCCCTGGCAGCCTGAGAAGCTGATACCCAAGTGAGAGCAAGTCTTTGTTCTTGGCTAGTCAAAAAGGCTGTGGACATTATTAATGGATACAGGGAAGCAGATGTCATGAACAGCAATTATGTACCTGCTCACCCTGGGCTGGGATATTTGTACCTCTCAAGGTGAAGCAGAATGAAAGCTCTTAGTTATGTCTTGAGTGAGGCATCAGCAAAAGGCTGCTTAAGTCCATATTTTATTAGTGTCACCTGGGATTTTCCCTTGCATAGGATACAGTCTCAGTGGAGCTTTGCATAGCTGTGTTTTCAAAACTGGAGAAATTTTACTTTCTAGAAGGGAGTTGCTGTGATTTGAAAAGGAGGAAATACAGAGTCCTGGGGTGAAAGCTAGTAGTCACTCCCGTTGTTTTTACAAGGCTATTGCAGAGTGTGCAGCCCATGCAGCCCCTGGATGGGAACAGGGGGAGGATGAGCCCCACAGTGTTCAGCACCATTGCCAAGTAGCCACATCTGTGACCCAGCAATGCAGGAGTTGTGTTCTGCCCTGTTTCAGGGGGATCCTGGCTCACAGTCACAAACACCTGCTTCCAGAATGCCCGGGTTTTAAACATCTGTTTTTCCTGCAGATTATGTCAAGTTTGGATATTGCACAAATCATAGCAATGCAAATTTTATCTTGTAAATGCAAATCATCCAAATTAAGTATTATCTTGAAAGTTAGACCTTTTTCTTTTTTTAAGTTAAATTCCATTTTCTTTAACGGTTAATATTCATGGAAGTTAGAGCTATTTCACATACCTTACCCTAAAATCAAATAATTTAGTTCAAATCAGCTTTATGCCAAGTGCAGTGTCAAGCTGTGACTTGTGGCCCTTGCTCATGCACGTGGGGATAATGTCCCCTGTCCTGCATCTGTCAACAGACTCTGGACAAAGTGGGATGAAACACTGCCACCCTTCTGCCCAGCACTTTTCACATGTACTTTGATTAAGTACGATAGAGCTGAGTGGAGATTTGGGCTGGAGTCTCTTTTCAGAGGTAGTCAGTTGCTTTGTGTTTGCTTTACAGTAATGGGAAAAAATCTGCTGGTAGGTGTAGTGAGGTTGCTTTATCTTCAGTGAACAGTCTTCTCTTGCGCCTTTTTTGTGTACTGAGAATCTAATTTTTTACTATTTTCTCACAGTTTATTTTAACAGGGTTTTCTTCACATTTGAGTTTTGGGGTTGTCACTCTGATGAATGTTAATCTGACTGGTGCAGTGGATGTGTTTATTTGGTGGAGACATCTATATTTTTGGCTCATTGCACAGCCATTATAAAGCCAACAGCCCTGTCCCTGGGTAGTGGAATGTCCAGGGCACCCCAGGCACTGTGCCATGTCTGTGGGGCACATGTGTGTAGCCTGTGTGCTTCATGGCCTTAGCATCCACTTCTACCTCATAATTTTCAGGAAAGAGGGGTAGGATGTAAAGCACACATCACTGCACCACAATGGACAGTGCTGGGTGCTTCCCATCTCTGTTTGGATCAAGGCTGCCTCTGGCCTGGCATTAATGAAACTCACCAGAAAAAAAGAAGTAACCAGCCAAGGGTGGCCAGAGGCAGCTGGTTTCTATACTGGGAGCGTCCAGAGTGCAGTCCAGGCAGCACAGGAGAGCAGGTAGGAGGAGGGAGGCTTAGCACCAGCTGCCACCTATTCCCACACCTTCCTTTGCTCACTCTCATGTCTCCACTGCCTCTTTTTCTTTTTTCTCTTTTTTTTTTTTAATTTTGCAAATTTATTTTTTCTCTCTGATCCTTTTTGTTGCACCTCTCAAGCACTTCAGCTGGCAAAAGAGTACCAAAAGGACTGCTTATCCCACTCTCCCCTGCACAACAGGAGAAGAAGGATAAAAATGCAGTTAAGAGAAAATAAGTCAAATAAATGGTGATGGACATTGTTTGGCTGAAGGTCGAGCCCTAGCCATGGGACCTGACAGAGCTGTGATGAACCAAATGCCTTTTGTGTGAGATACATCTCACTTTGTGAGTGTGCTAGAGAAAGGAAAAGCAAAATCTTATTCTGCTGTAATTCACTTAAAGGAGTGCTTCGTCCAAACGAACAGAAGGCGGTGAACTTTCTTAATTTCCTTTTATTTCATTTCAACAAAGGTAATTCAGGCTTTGACTCTTTTACATTAGAGAAGTCAAAGTACACAAATCAGAATGAGAGGACAAGTGAAGCCTGGGCAGGTAAACCTGCAGTGGAAATTTGTCCAAATAATATTGACGCTATGTAAAAGGTCCCACTCACTAAGAGTATTCTATGCCAATGAACTGCAGATAAACTCTCACTACAACCCCAAATTTTAACCTGTCTTTTTTCCTCCAATAACCAGATCGCCATGCTGGTTTGCATTTCCTGATGCTCTGACATTATCTGTCATCTGTCAAAGACATCATCTGTCTTTGTGTTGTACAGGACGGAAACTCCGTGGAGAGTTTTCATGGCTGTGCCTGTTTTCTTCCCAGGGGAATTGTACTTCATGTCTACTGGTGTTCCAAGTGCCACGGCTCCCAATGGAGTGGTGTACAAAGTGGTGGACACCTCCAGGTATGAGATGTTCTTATTGCAAAGCCTGGGTGTGGTGCAGTGAGTCCAGGTGTGGTTGTGGTGAGTGATGTCTGACTAAATAACTCTTCTCCCATGCTGGGCCCTTCTGTGATGATTGAACAAGGAACATCTGGAGCAACCCACTGGGGGTCTGCTCTGCTCTTGCAGTCATGGGGCTCTGCACTGCCTGGTGCCAACTTGTTATGGAGCCCATTGGTGTCATGTGGATTGGGAGATTTGTTTCTGAATGCTAAAGCTGTATTTTATGGGTGGCTTGTCTTTCCTGGACAAAGTTTTTCTAGATTCCTGCTCAAAAGGAGGCAGTTTTTCTCCAGGTGTTTATTCTCAGTTCCTCTCCGTCCCTTGTATCCAGCTGCATCTCCCACAAGAGCCCTGTGGCCAGGCAGCTGCAGCTGAAGCTGGACCAGCGTCACCTGCAGTGCTTCCTTGGGCAAATCAGAAATGAATGTCAAAAAGTACTTTTTTTAATGTTTCAAAGAGGAAAATGGATCGGACAAGAAAATAGGACGACTGTTACACCTTCTGGATTCCACGTGTGTGTATGTGAGACTGGGCAAGGCAGGGAATAGCTGTGTTTTATGGGAAGACTTAGAGCTGTTTTTTCCATCTTCCTGTTTTTTAAGCATTACTATTATTGGCTAAACACCAAGCTCCTTTCAGCCAGAAATGGAGAGTGATATTTTTGTAGCTTTTATCTTTTTACAGGGATTAAATTTACAGCTTTAGCTATCTGAGCATTTTGAACCAAACTACTTGTCTTGTTAAATAACCCCAGAGCTGTCACGTGTTTTCCTCCAACTCTCTTCTGTCAGGAACATTTTCCATTATCTAACATCGCAGAAGAGTTCCTGTAAACTATGTATTAAGAGGCTGGTATTACGCAACCTTTGCAAAAATAAGGAAAGCAGAAGTCAAAATCAAGTCATAAGTTTAAAAAGAAGTTTTGTTCATGTGCAGTGTACAGAAAACACTCACAGGAAAACTCATAAAAGCAGGGAACATCCTTGTGTAGGTAGTTTAGAGAAAAGCTCTCTATGTTTCACAGAAATGCAGATGCAAACAAGCCTATTTACAAAGGAGTTATACTCTGCTAATGCAAACATCATGCATTTTTGAACCAATTTGAAAACCTCTGAAGAAGTCTGAGGATTAACAAGACAGTTGTCATAGGAAAAAGTGATGATGAACTGCATGTAACTTCTCAGGGGTGTGAGATGTACCTCTATGGGAAACAAATTTGTGCCAAAATAATGCACCATGGTAAGAGGGAGCCTCTGTAGGAGACACTTAAACCTCCTTTCTAAAACTGATGCATTTTTGGCACTCTCTTTGTTTGGGCTTTCTGAATGAATAATAGTGTGTTATTTTCCTTCTGCGAAGACAGTCCGAAAAGTTGCGCACACATGACCTTTCATGTCAGATGTTCAACACACGCTTCTAGTTTTGTAATTTTTATTTTCAGTTTGACTAAGCTCTTTCTGTAGTGCTTGAACCTGCCAATGTTTTATTTCCTTAATGGATTCAATAGTGGCAAGTGAAAATACAGCCAGAGGACTCCACTGCCTTGTGAATATTTGGACTTTGATCAATGGAGATCTGTGATTGTTTAGTTATGCTTTCTACTGTAAGAGATTACTTACATCATTTAAGCAGACATTTATTTTTTTCCAATGATCATTACATTCATAGAAAAACAATGGGAAGCAATAGCTTGCAATGCCAGAGGAAAGGAATTAATTGTGCACTGTACATGTCCCTTTTTTTACAGGAGAGCACCACCAGGAAAATGCCAAGTTGAGCCATCGGCAGTGGAAGTAAAAAGCAAGCGCATCCCGTTTGTGCCAAAGGAGAGTGAGTGTCACTGTTGCTGCTTATTATTGGTGCATCGTACCTGGCAGTAGATGCAAACTCCAGACTTGCACTATCTCCACATGTGTGGAGACCACCCAGAACTTCACTTTTCAAAGTATCCTCAAAATTAATTCTTACCAGATGTTTTGGATCTGAAGAGTTGGTTCAAATAAGGCATAAAGTATTTCCCCTGTCCTGTCCTGGCCATGCAAAATTTGCTTTGTAGTTTCTGGCCCTGTACATTCTCCCTTTTCCATGCTACATTGTACTTGTTTCATTACCACCAACTGGGTTTCCCTGTAACTGTACAGAGACTCTGTGCTCAATGGTGCTTTTCAGTGACACGTGATTTTTTGCAGTGCTTCAGTTAGTGAGGAGCATTTCAAGAGATGAAAGACGTGATTGCTGAAGGGTTGGGAAGTAGCTCATTGAGCACGATGAAGGCTGAGTCACTGTTAGTTGAAAGTGAGAGAATATGGGATGATAAAATGCTCCCAGAAGAATGAGTGATCAGCCACTGAGGTGAACTTTTGGCTTACCCAAACCCTCCAGGGCTTCTTGATTGCTTCATACTGCATGAAGTATTGAAAGTAAAGAGCACTCAGTGATGTAGCTGAATCTGCAGCAAGCCAAGTACTATTTATGTTAGATGCAAAACCTTAAATACAATATTAGGATCTCAGGATTAGATTAGGCAGTATCATTGTTCTTTTCCACTGTGCATTTAATTTACACACTTAAGTACCTAGGCAGTACTTTGACAACTTCCCTTCAAACTCAGCATATTCTATGGACTTTGTCACAAAGTTAATATTACTGTAGGGACTCTAAAGTCAGGATACTTTTATTTAATTTTTAATTACATTAATCATATTACACTGCATTTGAGTCACTGACAGTTCCTGCAGCTCTGGCTTCAGGGGAAAATGAGGGCACTCAGCACCTTGCAAGATTGAGTCTTTAAGGTGGAACAAGATCTAAGGCTAATTATTGACTATTGACATGCCTGAGCACTCAGCATATCTTCAGAGATATTCTGCTTTGCAAGCTGGGCAGCAGTTTCCAAACATCAGTAACTTGTTTTGTGTTCAACCAGTTTTGTCTCTGTTTCTGCTTATCCGTTATTCTTTGTGCAAGTCCAAAGTTCAGATTTTTAAACTATACATATAACTAGATCTTTTGGGTTTGTTTACAAGGTAGTTCTCATCATAAATTAAAACTTAGAAATGGTGGGAGAGATTCTACGAAGTGTCTCAAGAACTAAATTCACTTTTTGGTGAAAACCAAACACAAACATTTTGATTCTGAAGCACACAAACAAGGATGTGTAGGTGTAAATAGTTACTGTTTTGGTTAGTATTTAGTGTGAATGTAACAGAATCACTAAGGCACATGACTTGCATTAGCTGGATGAGTGCATTTGTTGGAAGTGTATTTTATAAATAGCTTAACAAAGAGTAATATATAATAACAACTTGATTCGATGAGGTGAAAAGCAGTCCCAGGTGACCACTAGCTTTCATACAGCCCTACATATCATAATATGAGTTCCAGGATTTTTAAGTGCTTTGCTAGATCAGGCTCCAGCAACTGAGCTGTGCACAGGTAAGGCTTTCAAAGCCTTTCCTTGCCTTCAGAACCTCAGGCTACCAAAGAAGGGAAATATTTTCATGTCACAAATACAATTCCTCTTCAAAGAGCACTATCTTGGGAAAAAAAAAAAAAATGGACCACTGCAAGGGTTTGTCTTCTGGGGACAATAGATATTAAGTACAAATGAGACAGTCATAGTTTTCCTCCTCTCTGTACTACAAAGCAAATGATGAATGAGAATGGATAAATCTGGGATATAATTCAAATAGTCATGATGTCTTTGCAAATGTCTGTGACACTGTCCCAGCTCAGTTGATTGTTATTCTGAGGAATTCTGAATTGATTCCTTCTGGCAAACTAAAACTTATTTTTAAGCTAAAAATAAAGCACATGTGAATAAGCAAGTCCAGTAACGCCTGGAAACTGTGACAGCAAAGAATTTTCAGCTCTTCAGAGTTCAAGGCTCTTTTTTTTTTCATAAGGAAGAACAAGCCCAACCTCAAATCCTGTTTTATGTGTTGTCCTGGCAACTCTGTTCCTCTTGCACATTCCAGTTGCCAGAGAGAATTGATTTTGAATGTTCCTGATTTCAGCTCCTTTGAATAAAGCATCTGACCCAGTGGGGAGGCCACGCTCTCCCCTGGTAACGATCCAATCCTTAGTAATGAAGAGAAGAGCAGAAACGGTGGCTGGCTTTAAAATGCTTTCTGCAGGAGAGAAGGCTGTGGTGGGGAACTCCTCTCCTGACTGTGAAACTCCAGTGCCCACCCTTTAAGGGCCAGGCTGAGATTTTGCTTATTTGCCAATACACTGCTTGGAGTTTCCTTTTTGGGAGAGGGCTCACGTGTTGGCATTCTGCCCTGCAGTCCTCTCTGCTAACTGAAAGCAGCCGACATTTTTTCGCTGAGGAAATACCGGCTCACTGGGAGCGTTGTCGCTTCTCAACGGGATCAAGTAGGCAACTCGCAAGAAATTAGTCAAATAAGTGAAAAATCAGCGCTGGTTTTGTATAGATGTCTTCAAGCGTTGTCCACGGAGTGAGAGACTCATGGTTTCCCCCTTTTTTTTTTTTCCCCACCAGAGTTTATTATGCAAACACCGACTCCACAACCCCGGCTGAAGACCACGACCGAGGCCCCACGGGGACGCAGGCCAGACCCCAAAACCCCCACCAAAGCAGCGCCCAGTGGGAGGACCCCCAGGCCCGGGAAGGGAGCAGGGAAGAGGGGGCAGCGCAGGAAGCAGCAGCCACGGAACGGCGCCGTGCGGCTGATGGAGCGGGGGCGGCGCGGGCGCGGCCGGGGCCGGGTGGAGGTTTACATCGACGGCGAGTGGGGCACGGTGTGCGACGACGGCTGGGGCTCGCCCGCCGCCGCCGTGGTGTGCCGCCAGCTGGGCTTTCCCCACGTGGTGCGGGCCACCAAGAAGGCAGAATTCGGGGAAGGGACCTCCCTCCGCATTCTCCTGGACGATGTCCAGTGCTCCGGGCAGGAGAGGACGCTGCTGGAGTGCTCCCACGCCGACGTGGGCGTGCACAACTGCTCGCACGAGGAGGATGCCGGCGTGGTGTGCAGCCGGGAGGAGGTGGCAGACTGGTGACAGGGGAGCTGGGGAAGGCAGCAGAGGGACTTGGAGCACATCCCTTTCTTGCCCAACCCTCTGAACCAGCTGCAGTTTTGCGGAGGGTGTGCCCCGTCCTGAGCGTGTTGCGTCTGTTCAAAGTAACCTCATGGTTTTCTGCATGTTTGTCCCCATGCATGTGCCTTGGAGGGAAAGAAAAAGTAAAACAAAGTGACTTGACTATGTTGCGGGCAGGGACTACATTTCTATGTTTTTTTTTTAATAAGAAGAAAACCTCAAACATCAGCCTTTATAGATTAGAAAAGAGATGCATCCTGTTGCTCTTTCCCTTTGAAAATACAGCATTCCTCAGCTGTGCTTCACAGTGTTTTGCCAAAAAATAAATTCCCAAATGACTGTGTTTTGCTCTTATGGAATCATTTGTGTTGTTTGCCTTGCTTTTGCCACCTGCAGCTCTGAGCAGCAGATTTTAATATGTGTAAATCTGTGCCTTTCTTTGCAAAATACAAAAGTATGTATTTTTTTTTAACTTCCCACTCACTAGTTTAAAGAAAAATTATTTTTCTCCAATGGTTTTTATTGGTATAAACCTAGTGGTCATCAAGGATAACTGTGTCTAAGCAAAATCAGATCATTTAAAAAACCCCCATTACATACTGCCTAGACAAATATTTCTGCAGTTTACACTAGCCCCAGTGGCAAGAAAATCTGACCCCTTTTACATGGACAGGATTGAAAATCTGTCCCTTTTTACACGAACAGGATCATTATCCTAATTAACCCTGAAGATACTTCTCCACTTTCCCAAATTTTATGAAGCCACATGTTTTTGCATTCAGTTTTCATGGGTATGAATTGCTACACAAGAGGTTATATACTGCAGTAATAATCTTCTTTTTAGAGGATATTAAAAAAAACAAACTAACCAAAAACTTATTTTGTCTGAAATATGTTTTTTTCACCTGAGTAGTTATTGCAGACATATGTTCTCCTCTTGTGGTCTCTCTGCATTTGAAAGTATTTTGCCAGGTTATTTTTTCCCTGGTGTAATCAGGATAGGGTTTGTTTTGCTGCTCACTCAAGAACATAAGAAAGACCAAAAAAATCCCAAAAGCAAACTCCCAGATGTGAAATGACCAGTGTCCAGAAAAGTTCACAAATAAAACCTTGTATCTAAGGGTCTCACCATAGGTATTTTTTTTAATTCCCCAATTTCAAGTTGACAGTGTCCTCTTAAACCTAAGACATTGATATATAGGGTAAATACATTTATTTTAAATATTTGTCCTGAACTTTCTGATAAACTCAATAAATTCTTTTTGATATTAAACTGTATACCTTTAATATACAAAACCAGATGATCGAAAAAAAAACCCCAAAACCAAACACGTTTCTTATGAATAATAAAGGGGGAACAGATGTATAAAGTGTCTTTAGAAAAGTACTACTCTCATTTTGTTGGAAAACCTACAAATGCATCAGGCACCAGACTGTCATTAGGCTTTTCTTAAAGTTGCAAACTCGTTTATTTAAAGTGCAGAAATAGACTTGAGCCACATCAAAACATTCAGGGAACAAGAGAGTCCACTGTAAATCCTTCTGTTAAAAGACCTGGCACCTGTTGAGCTGATGGGACTAGAGGGCTGGAAGAAATCAGAAGGTGGAGATATAGTCTTTCTTTTTCCAGATTCCTCTCCTGCTTCTTTTGGCTCCTAAGCCAAATTTCAGCTAGGTCCAGCTGGGAGATTTTAAGAAGAATCTTGGTCATAGCTACGCTCAAAAACTTCTGGGTAGAAAACCGACCTGCACAACAAAAGTTACCCTAAAAGAATTGAGGTGATTCCAGGACGTCTGCCGAAGGCCAAATAAACAGGAATTTCACCAGCGTTTTCTAGGTACTTAAGTACTTTCCTTCTACTTTAACTGTTGGTTACCCTGCACCTGCTTTAGCCCCTTTGAACCTCCCGAGCACGAGCAGAAGTCACCTACACCTCGCATATTGTCGGCGGTGATTGCCACCACCCCTGACTGGCAGGCAGGCGGTAGCACGGTCTCTGGTGGCAGCCAAAGGCAGACGGAATCCAGCCCACATGGAGCCGCCGTCGCTAAGAGCGGCTCTGCTGACGGCAAACACAGAGCCCGACACCCCCAAGTGTTTGCTGATGAGGAGTTTGCCGATGATGTTGTGTGGGTGCCGCCAGCTTCATAGGGGAAATATTTATCAGCAGAGAGAGGCAAGACTCACAAGGAAGTTGGTTTGGGGTTTTTTTTGTTATCTCTATCCTTTCTCCCAGCCTACACCGGGTGGGGAAAACATTCAAACAGTAGCATGGCAGCTCAGTATGCACCGCTATGCTGGCAAGGTATTTCTGATCATTGTGGTCCCTTCCAAGCTTTAAATATGTCTGTTCTAAATCCTGGTATTTGTCAGTCTAGTTCTCTGGTATTTAAATAATGAGCCTCTACTATTCAAAGTGCAGAAGTAACATGCATTTAAATACTTGCTTTGTCATCTGTTTAATAGGATTCTTACTGATAGAATTTTTCTTCATTTAAAAATGCACTTATTTAGCAGGATGTCACACAAATTAGGCATTAGATAAAAGGCATTAGATAAACAAGTAAGCCCTGCTGCTACATTTGAACATGACAGTGTACTTTCTGGATGCTGATTCAGGATAAAGGTTTTAAACCAGCCCAGAGTAATGCTGGTTTACCACAGTGCAGTCTTCTGCATGTGTTATGTGTCAGTCCCAAACTTTTGCCTGGTGGCAATATGGCTTATTGCCTTGTCTCCTGATTCAACTCTGACTGAGACTGGAGCATCTGCATTTTTCCTTACACATCTTTCCATTCCTTATACCAGCACATCTACATCATGTAGAGGACCCAGCGTGTCTGTAAGGGAATAGTGTAGTCTCAGCCTTTCTACCTGTTTTTCTCTACCTCCAAGGCAGAGTAGCTCTGTGCAGAACTCAGGGTTTTTCACTTAAATTGCTTCTGGTACCCATCAGCCAGCCTGGGCACTACCACACTGTGTTACAATCTGTGGTATAGACATTATCTTCAGGCAAAAATCATTTGAACTTACCATGTTCTGTCTAAGACATCCAATAGACAAATCTTCCCACATGGATCTGGAAAAAATCTTCAGAGCTTACTGCCAAAGCAATGGAGAGATAATGAAATAGGAAGGGTGTTGAAATGGGGATGCTTGCTCAAATGCTGGCAAAACCCTTCTGGGTGCTGAACCCTGGATGAAGCACACCATGAGGATATCTCCCATATCAAGGGAACTCCGCCCAGCTTCTCTGTGTCAGGTTTCAATGTATGAGCAGCATACGGCACATGTATCACATTAAGCACAGCACTCTGTAGTCAAAAAGTATCGAAGCCATGACTCCAGTTCAGAAAGATCAGCAGTGGCAGTGTGGGTGACACTGGCACTGGGTGCAAAGATGAGCCTGGGGCCCCAACTTTACGTGCTGCCATCGTGTTTCTCTTGCTTTTCATTTCCCCTATCAGCCTCTCTCCCAGCTCTCACAAGTTAGACCTTTTGCTGGGCTTCATGATCACAGAATCACAGAATATGCTGAGTTGGAAGGGACCCACAAGGATCATCAAGTCCAACTCTTAGCCCTGCACAGGACCATCCCTATGAGTCCCATCATGCACCCAAGAGCATTGATGTATTTGATGGCCAAGAGAGAACAGCAGCTCATGTATTACTGCTCTGCCCCACAGCCCAAACCCAGCACAACATTCCCAGAGATGTTCCCAGCACAGCCTGGCTCTTCTTTCACCTGTTAGCATTGATATGCTTTTGTGGGGGGGAGGTCCCCAGCACAGACCTGTCCTGCTGTACATCAGCTCAGCCTGTCACTGACTGTGCAGAGGAGAAAAACAGTCACAATGTTTTAAATATCCAAGTCTGCCTTTCCTCTCAGAAGCATGCCAGTAGACCTCTTTAAAAGTCAGTTTAGATACTTTTTCATACATAAACACGCATTTTTCTATATGAAAAGAGATGTGAGCATCTTTTGATAAGTAATAACTGCATTCCAAATTTAAGCTTTAAGAATTTGTAGTTTTTTGCTTTGTAAACAAGACCTCAAAGCCATTGGATGTGTGCCCATACCTTGCTGTCTCGTACACAACTTTCCCAAGGTTTCCATGGCTGGGGCACAGGTGCAGCTATAGACCTGCCTTAGGCAGTGTTTCAGTGATGTCAAAAAAGCAGCTGTGATGGAAACAGGAAGCATTCCTTAACAATAATGTGGTAAATAGGGATGCTATTTTTAAGGATAAAGAAAAAGCCAGTTGTAAGCACTGACATGAAGGAGTTTGTTCCTTGGGGGCATTAGCTGTTGGCAAGGACTAAACTCTTGGACTGTTTTTGTTATTATTAATCTTTAGCTCATTGATTATTATTAACTTGTTATGAGAGTTTTCCTGCCAGGCATGGAGAGGAGTCAACAGCACAGCACTGCATGTCAGGCTTGAGCAAGGTGGCTCTGATGGTTTTAAAAGGTGCCAAGGTCCAGTGCTGCTCACGAGGGACATTATTTCCACCCCCATCCTCCCCCTTGCAGAATGAAACAGCAAAAACCTTTATCTTAAGCCTGATTAAGTCAGGATGTCATGCCCCTAAACCAGAAAAGATCGAGCACATTTGGTTGTCAGTACCTTTAAAACAAAGATTTTTTTTGTTGTGGTTTTTTTTGGGTTTTTTGTTTGGTTGGTTTTTTTGAGGGGGGGTTTGTGGTTTTTTTTGGTTTGTTTTTTTTTTTTTTGGTTTGGTTTGGTTTGGTTTGTTTTTTTTTTTGCCTGGTAAATGAAGGGGCACCAGGAAACTTTTCCTGTCACCAGGAGGTAATGAGCTGTGTTGTTAAATCTTCAGAGCAGTTCCCAGCATGCCTATGTCCCTTGCTAACCTGAACCCTCCCAGATCAGCCTGGGCTAGGCCAGGATTCACTGTCAGTTGGCCTGATAACCAAACCATGACTGTTTAATTTGTTAGTGAAGATGAAGCCTTTGTGAAATCCAAACCCAAGGTGGCTATTGTCTCAGTTTAAATGAGACACAGGTGTTTTGCTGAGGGTGAGTTATGAGGAAGACCCAAACTCCTCCCTCTAAACAATTGTAAATCCAAAATTAAGAGGCTCCAATTGAGGGGGAAAAAAAGTGTGGAAAAAGGAAAAATAACAGCCCTTTAATAAAAGATATATGTGTATTGTCAGAAACAATGAAAGAAAACAAGTAAAACAACCAAACAATACTCCTATACCCACAAATAATCCCCTTCAAAACAAACCAATAAACAAACAAAGAAGAAGGTAAACAGTTCCGTTTGTGCTCTTTGGTGCAATTCTAACCACAGTCAACAGGGGGTGCTGTTGGATCACTGGAAATGCAGATCCTGCATTGCTTTGTGCCAGTCAGCAGGGGGTGCTGTTGGATCACTAGTCATTGCCACGTGGGGAGACACCCTCCTGGATGTATTGGAGAAACCAAAATGTGTTTCCCTCCCCCCCACTGGGAAAAGGGAGAGAGAGAAGGGAGAGATTAAAAAAAAAAAAAAAAAAAAAAGGCAACAACAAAAAAGAGTCCTTCCCAATGGAAATTCACTCTGTCCTGCAGGCCGAATCGTGCGGTACAGTTTTTCCCTCTCCCTTTGATACGCACAAGAACTGCTGCCAAGAAAGAAACAAACAGGAATGGAAAAGGGGAAAACCTCCCAAAACAGGTCCTCTCTGATGAAAATCCAAACAGAATCCACAGCTGACAGCCAGACTGAGAACAAAACCCACTCTGAGCTTCTGCTCCGACCTTGTTCCAACTCCAGCTGACACCTGAATTCCTCCCCCCTGCCATTTCCCAGGAGATGAGAGGAAAAAAAGGAACTCCTCACCCTTCCCCAAACACAAGATTCTGAGGGCCATAAGCTAGGAATGTGGCCTTACCACAACTTCTTTTGTGTTACTTAGCTGCCCATTCAACATCTCTTCCACACAGTGGGCAGGGGGAAAGGAAAAATTCCTGCTTAGTTTCTAAGAACCAGCAAAACCATGACAGCTATTTTTATTAAAGGATGGAACTTCCCATTGAAAAACCCATTGTAGGCCTTTTGAGAATTTGTTTTCTGGATGATATAGAAATAAAATTCTCTTTGGAGCAGATCAAAAGCATAGGGAGACAAAATGATGACTTTAATTTTTTGCCTCTGCTGTTAAACAGTGAGTATGGCATTAGTA